CGCCATCTCGCAGTGGTGGTGCTGGGGGGGGGGATCGGGCGAGATTCGGCCCTGTGGCACGGAGGAGGGGTATAGAGGGGATATAGCAGAGGACGTGCCTGCGAGGGTTTTTATTAACGATGGGATCGCACCTTTAGCGTGTTATCATATTATTTTAAAACGTGTCGATTTTATCTGACGCAGGTGCAAGACGCGCGAGCAGCGATGCGACTGTACACCATGGTGCGGCCGCAGTGGGAGAAGGCCATGAAGCAGAAAACAAGTGAACGTGTCCGCGCGCGAGGGAGCACCGAGACCAACGCCGTCACGGGAGAAGTGCAGCGTGGGGAGAAAGAGCGGAAGATGAAGCTGTTCAAGCGACAAAACCGAAAAGAGTGGGAGAAAGCAGCGAAGAAGAGAGCCACAGCGACGATAGCAGAGCCGGCACCAGAGGGCGGCACGGTCTCGCGGCCATCTGGCAAGATTCGCGTCGCGGCGCAAAGGAATTCGGCGTAGCTGCGGGATAATCGTCGGCGACAATAAATGCGAAATCATGAAGCGTTGTAGTGCGACCCATCGTCGTTGTAGTGTTTGCTGTTAACCATTAAATAAATTGTTTGATATCATACACTATGTGATCTGTGTTTCGCTATCTTTTCCATCTCTTCCTCGTGTATTATCCTCAATTAGCTTAGCGAAAGATGTATTTTTGGTGACAGTTGGGATCTGGTTATTGTTCCCATAATTCTGATAAAACTAAAGCATAGTGTAATTTAAAGGGGTGCTTATGTCGGGCTTGCGAGCCGACTCGACTGGAAGCAACTGGCTGCAATTCACTGCGACTGCATGCTTAGGTCGGTTGACTGCGACGCGACTGCCTGCGACTGGCCGCTACTAGTTGCTCGGAATAGAACAGTGGGCAACTGGACGCAACTAGTCGCTGCCGATCGCTTCCAGTTGCTCGAAATCCAGTTGCTTCTAGTCGAGTCGGCTCACAAGCCTGCGACATAAGCCCACCCTCCCCTTAAAGAAATTTGTCCTTGTCTGGTGCTGGAAATATACAAACATTTGGTAACATTTAAGCTATTATACTAGCTACAGTTGCATATACTCATATGTACTATATATAATGAAAATGCAATTTTAGGTAAGTACTATTTCATACATTTAATAAACGGCTGCATATTTCGCGTAGAATATCGCCATCTAGTGTCTGATTTAAATTTTAATAATATTAATTCAGCCAGGCACACAATACTCGCCGAGAAAACGCGACTCAGTTACTACTACATGGCTGTGTAATGTCACGCCATGACTCCTTCCCATGCTAACGTACAGTGAAGGGGTGTGTGTGCCTGTCGGCGACAGACGACGTGAGAGAGAGAGAGAGGAAGAGAGAGAGAGAGAGAGAGAGAGAGAGAAAGAAAGAGATAGAGAGAGAGAGAGAGAGGAAGAGATTATAGATTACTTGGCTTTACTGCGCTATTTTTCAATTACCGTAACATCTTACGTCATAATCCCATCCTTATCAGTGGACCCGTGTTTATAACTAGTAGAGCACCCTAGCCGGTAAGGTGCAAAACTTCATCCCCTCCCGTCCTCCCCCTTTCCTCACTTGTCCCTCGCTCAGCCTGCTGCTTTTTCCACAGCCCACTCAGCTACCTTACCTGCCACCTGTTCTCAGTCTCCCACCCCTTTCACTGTCAGCAAGCTATATTATGCAGTTTTATTATGCACGTTCCACGCGAAACACGAGTATACTCGTCAGTATATATAAGTCCGTACTGCACGCCTGAAACAGTGCTCGCGCATGCGCAATATCTCACGAGAAGAATAATATTTTGCAAAGATTATGCATGTAATATGAAGAGGAGTTACCCTGGCATAGATTAAGATAGATTTACATGATAAAATTCCATCAGTAGACCTCACTTAAGAAGTAGGAAGAACACCTTGCATATAAGGTCCCTGTTGCATATACCAGCCAGTACACAATCTGCCCACCGTAGTGTGTTAGCGCTTGGGCAATATCTCACCAGAAGAGTTATATTTTGTAATGAATATGCATTTAATATGGTTA